TCGTATAATGTATTGTATGTGTGTGTTGTGTGTGTGTGTGTGTGTGTGTGTTGTGTGTGTGTGTGTGTGTGTGTGTGTGTGGTGTGTGTTGTGTGTTGTGTGTGTTGTGTGTGTGTGTGTGTGTGTGTGTGGTGTGTGTGTGTGTGTGTGTGTGTGGTGTGTGTGTGTGTGTGTGTGTGTGTGTGTGTGGTGTGTGTGTGTGTTGTGTGTGTGTGTGTGTGTGTGTGGTGTGTGTGTGTGTGTGTGTGTGTGTGTGTGTGTGTGTGTGTGTGTGTGTGTGTGTGTGTGTGTGTGTGTGTGTGTGTGGTGTGTTGTGTGGGGGGTGTGGTGTGTGGTGGTGTGTGGTGGTGTGTGTGTGGTGGTGTGTGGGGTGTGTGTGTGTGTGTGTGTGTGTGTGTGTGTGTGTGTGTGGTGTGTGTGTGTGGTGTGTGTGGTGTGGTGTGTGGTACCGGAAATCATAACTCCACCCCTTTGGACCCAGAGCGCTCAAACTTCTAGGATATATAGGGGGCCGAGGTGAACACTGATGACGGGTGGCGGGAAGTGATAACCACTGATACGAGCTGATAACGGACGTCGGAAAGCTTTTGTCACCAATTTCGCTACGCCGTTTGCGATGACAGTGAGAGTTCCACTTACAAGGACATTCATGGTGACGGGACCCGAATTAGACGAGCGAAGAATTGTATAGCAAGTGATCAAGAGATGACAAAAGGCTGGCGGCGCCGAAGCACAGCCCACCATGTGTTGCTCTCCTCACGTTGCGTAACATTTTGAACCCATTCCATATTATTGGGATGTAGCGGACCCATGAAGGTGGGTGAAAGAACGTGGTGGCAAGTGATAACTTGATAAGGGGCGTCAGAGTGTGAATACCACCAATTTCGTCGCGGCCTTCGCAGTGATAGTAGATCCTTGGATATTACATATGGTGCGGAGAATCTTACGGGAACACGAATGGTGAGTGACGAAAAGTTACAACAGTTGATAACAGTTGATAACGAAGTCCAGAACTTGATTATCAAATTCGTTGTAGTTTTCGTGGTAGCAGTAAGCCCTTCGCTTCTACATGTTTCATAGGGAGTTGGAAAACCCGGGGGGGGATAACGGTGCTATCGGTATAACGGTAACAAATGACAAGGAATGATAAGGGGCGTCTGAATGCAAACACTACAACTTTGTTGCAATTAAAAGACGATGTCATCGTATTAATTGCAACAAAGCTCATGCCAAGCGATCGTGTCGGCGAGGCTAAGCCAGGTTCTTAGCACGTGAATATGCTCCATTTCTAACCTTTCACCAAACAGTGCAAAGAAAGTTGAAACGCTCAACTATCTGGACCTGGACCAATGACAAGTTATCATCAGAGCTAGGTTAGTTGCAGATTGAATGGTCATATCTCACTCTTTCAGCGATACTCACAGTATTAATTCTATAGACCGCTAAATCATCCAAACTCGATATTAATGCTGAATGTTTACGAAGTCGTGATAAGCCATTTTCATTCCGCATGCTACGCGTGCACTACGCGATAGTCTTCAGCGGAATTTGCAGCCTTTGCATTTTATCAGGAGCATTTTTCAAAGCAGCTCAATAATAGTTTCTCAGCCATGTGACCTAACATTCTACAGGTTGTCCAGTTTCACTGAAGCCCACCATATGATGCGCGCGGATGCGTGCGGAGCTAAACTGGTAAAATATAAAGTTCTTGCAACCCCCAGATGTCATTATTTTCCCATGCTGGAAAAAAAAATGAACGATTCACACTCACACATCGTCTGGGTCACCTTCTCCTTGTCCTTGTGGAGCAAGATCCTCTGTATAGTAGTAGTAATAATCCTCGCTATTTTCCTTTTTCCGGCCTTTCACTCTATCTTCTCGGCGTTCATCGTTCTTTGACTTCTGCTGAGCCCTTTCTTGCTCCGTTTGTTGTGAAGGATTTCCTCCTTGTGCAGCACGTGAAGCTGAAAAAATGCGACAGTTTTATGTGAGGCCAATAATTCCTTACCATTACATAGTTATCCAAAATTTTCAAAAAAAAAATTAAAAAAAATAAAAATGGCACGGTTATCCCGGGGAGCGGAAAGTAGGGTGGTAGCTGTCATCCATGAATCATGTCAACACGAGATCAGTTTTGTTGACAGTGGATAAAGCCTAAAGATATAAGCATTTGCCGTTACTCCAATCCGTTTTGGACTGTCGCACCCATTCTACTCTCCCATTTGTACATACGAAGTTATTACGTTTGTACATTCGCAGTGGCATTTGAATGCGATGTGGCCTATACAATGACTTGCGGGGGCCAGCCGATGTTCAAGTCAGTGTTTTTTATCCTCCCAGACAAGTCTGGTACCAATTAACCGACCCCGGAGGGATGGAAGGCTTGGTTGGCCCGGGCGACTCACGACCCAGGAAATTGATCCGACTGCCGCTGGTGACAGCGCCACTTGTCCACTGCATCCACTTCCCGCCCAGACCTCGGTCAATAAGTGATGCTGCCCAAATCTCCCAGCGCCATACATTAAATGCGATCGAAACCAAAAGAAAGGTAATAAGGGATTTCCTCTCGTCAGCTGCTTCACGAGCAGCGCGATCCATACGGTGGCCGCCATCAAAGGTGGGCTGAACCTTATCTTGTGAGCACACTATTGCAACATGACACATTGACATTGTGGGTTGAAGCCTGGCAGCTCCAAACCTATACGCTGCGCACCCCCCCACTTTTAGGTCTTAAAACGAAAAATTCGTTCGAAGTCGCCAGAAATTGTCCACAATACCCAAAATCCGGAAGCCAAACCGACCATAAAGAGATCGAATCCAGCGTTCAGGAGCCGCCACTGAAACAAATCATCAGTTATGCTCCACGCATCCATGCCCCTATACCATGAAGCAACCATTAAAACACAGTGGCCCTACACGCATTCTGTTAGTCACCGTACAAAAACAAAACGGTCAGAATAGGTACAGATATCGATGATTTTCGGACGCATTTTTTGGTCTTTCCGTTAGGGGCCAGTAAGCGCCTATTGCAATGACTGGAGCATCTGAATGAAAATTGCTAACGAGCGAGACTAGCTGTTAGCGGCAACGGTCTGATGAGTACCACCACATAGAAAACGGAATAACAAAAATGGCACTTACCGGCGGCTGAAGCCGATGAAGATGATGAAGCAGATGAAGCTGGCGCTTCTGGTGCGCCTGAATTGGCTGACGCTTCGGCTGCACCTGAGTTGGCTGATGCTTCTGCTGTGCCCGAGTTGGCTGATGCTTCTGCCGCATCCAGTGCACCGGACACCTCACTTACATCCGATTCTGTTGGAGGGGCAGGATCCTGAGTCTGTGGTGTTGGGAACATGTTGGGGGTCTGAGGGGCCATTGGAAACGGTTGCAGAGCCTGTACTTGTACAGAAGGCATGAATGGAGGGCTCACCCAGGTTTGTTGGGCAAAGGCTGGCGTTTGAGGCTGGGAATAAACAGGAGGTGTGGGCTGAAAATAATTGGGAATTCCGGGAATAGTGGGGAGGTTTGCAAATAGTGATTGAGGTGTTAGTAGGGATCCCAATGTAGCATCAGGCGATGAGATTGTAGCGAGACATGCTGAACAGTACTTTATGGTGGATAGCACAGCGAATACAAACAATGGCATCTCATCAGCAAGCTGATTGACCGCGGAACATAGCTTTTATATCAAACCTGTCCTGACCAGGGCTATTTGGACACGAAAACTTCATAACGGGAGCGCCATAATGCATGTACCGTCCCATTAGCATAGCTTACACTGACCAGAAGCTGCATCAGTTTTCGAACCCCTTTACGCAGTTGACAGGCCGCCGACGACCTTCAGTGGGGGAGTTGGGTGAAATCGCATGGTCGCGTGGTCTTTTCCTTCGCCTGCGGGCTAGGCGTCCGTAATTAGACTACATTGCACTATGACGGCATGACCTTGCCATTGTCCGAAACTGATTATGCGCAGCAATCAAATAGTTTAAGCGGAACTCGTCAGTCCAGTTTAACAATCCGACTCAAAAAAAAACGTTTGCCTTATTTCCCCTTGATCTTCAACGTTGCCGCAAAGGCTTTGCAGAAGTTGCCACTATCGCAATATACGGGGGCAGTGAGGTAGCAATGCATTGAAACTGCAACAAACATGTTCTTTTCGTTGAAAATCGGACCAAGCCTTAGGCGGGAGGAAGACTCCAAGGTGTGTGGGCCACTCTTATTATTTTCCTCGGAGGTCCCGCACCCTCTTATGCTCACCCTGTGGAATGCCCCCGTATATTACGATAGCGCTCAGAAGCCTCCTGTACTGAAAAACACATCGCTGGATAGTCCAACCCAAAACTATAGTCCCCCCAACGGAAATCGAAGGAATTAAAACAGTTCTCAAAATATTTTTCCCGAGAAGTTTGAGATTCTGAATGTAAGTAAATACGGCTTGAGACAACTATGGGGTGCATACGGTGGTGAGGACGATCTGTGATAAGAACGAAAATCGATAACGGTCGAAACTAGAGGAGCT